GTTGGGGGGTGGTGGGGTGGGGGGAAGAGAGGGTGGACGGGAGTCACGCGCTGGAGCATTCCCATCCTCCCACCCGCTCTTGCTGCCGCTATCGATCGACTCTCACTGAGGACATCCCTGGGGTGAGGTTCGCCTGTCACCGCCATGCTGCATGCAGTGGAATAGCCGAAGTTGCTGGGGTCGGGGTGGGGGGCGTGGGGGGAAGGCCACGAGAAAAGATAGGCGAAGGCAAAACTTTAATGGGGCAGAAAAATACAACAAGGCACAGGGGAGGGCCAGAATGGCCGCCCACCCCCTCACCCCACAAACCCTGCCGCCGTAGACCCCCCCTCCTCCCGTTCAGTCCGAGAAACCCCTCCGATTCTCGGGGCCACTCTTCCTGGTGCTGGAAGGTTCTGGAACGCCGAACGATTGGAGGGCGGGGGGGCAGGGGTGTGGTGAGGCGGGGAGGGGGGCCGCCACACTCTCAGACCGGTCTCATATCCGAGGAATCACCGCCGCGACCCCCTTCTCCCTCCCTCAGGGCCTGGCGTCCATCTCGTAGATTTGGACAATCTCCTTGACGATGGCGTCCATGATGGATTTGGTCACGCTTTCGCTGAAGACCTGTTGGGGAGGTGGTGGGGGTGGGGTGGGGGGGGTGTGGGTGGGTGCCGAAGGGGGGGGGGGAAGGGACCAATCCCAGCCCTCAACCGTCTCTCGCTGAGCGCAGCCGCTCCCCCCCACCTCCCCCTCCCGGCCTCACCCTCGACTCTCGTCAGAGATTGCCCTCTCCCAAAAAAAGCCCGCACTGCCCCTCCCACCACCCAATGCCCCACTCTCCGCATCAACCCAACAGTCGCGAGGGGTTAGAGGGGCTGAATGGCCTCCTGTTCCTGTGTCACAAGCTCGAGGACAGGGGTGAAGGGGGCGCATCTTGGTATTTGGAGGAGGGTAGAGGACAAACCATGCCATCCTAGAGATCCCCCACCCCCCCAATTCCCTGCTTGACTCCGATCGCCCGCGATGTTGTGATCGCTATTGTCTGCTGGCTCCCCTCTGTCCCTTTGTGTGCACGCGCGCGCCTTCCCTCAGCCCCTCGCCTCGAGGCAGCAAGGCGGAGAGGGGGTGGGAAAGAGCGTAACAAACTCACCTGCCACCATGCCCGCTCCCCCGTGGCGTCCCCGGGCACCTCCACGCCGTAACAGAGCAGGGCGAAGTAGAGGGCGGCCACGGCAACGTGCTGGGGGGTGTGACGGAGGCACACGGTGCCGTGGTAGCTGTCGCGGAGGGCCCCCCATGCGGTCACGGCCACCGGCGTCCTCTCCCACGTGTGCCGGTTCATCCACTTCTTCAGGGAGACCAGGTAGTGGAGGAGGTACTGGAGAGAGGGATAGCAGGGAATCAGAATAGGCCAGCCAGGACCCGCTCCAGCTCTTCCCGAGGAGCCCACGCCACCCCTTCGCTCCCCCGCCATGGGTCCCTCCTGAAACAATCGGGTGGGG